GTTGCTCGCGACGGGATTGGCACAACATGTTGCTCCCTACCCATTTCATGGTGTCGATCAGGCTGTCCAATTGACTTGTGTTATCTGCTGGGACAAGGCTTTCCTACAGAGATAGAGGATGAAGACATCCCACGTAAGAATTTAGTTAGGCAGGTAAGCCAGGCAAATAACTTGTAATAAATGGACAAGCTCTTTAAATTTTGTTATAGCAAACAGCTTTTTAGCTCTTCTCCCCTTTTTGTATAAAAAGGTTAGTGCACTCCGACCCTTTTTGTCATTAAGGCCATAAAAGCTCGGGATGCGGGTGAACCAATTCTGATCACGCTGGTGAGCAAAGATGCCGTAGCCGCTGGGGCGTAGGTTTCCCGAAGCTCGACCAGTTATACTCAGAGTTTGTTCCCGCAAACCTAGCTTCTAGGTCTTAACGTGAAAGGGGGTCGGGCACTGAGAATGTTTGCTAGGTAGATATATTTTTAAAGCGTACCGGCCCTTTCTATGGCTAAGGCAAAAAAAGCCCGGGGTGCGGAAAAGAAATTTTGATTACGCTGGTGAGCAAAGGCACCGTAGCCGCTGGGGCGTAGGTTTCTCTCGGTCCGACCAGTTTTACTCAGGGTTTATTTCCGCAAACTTCGCTTTTTGGGTCTTAATCGTAAAAAAGGGTCGGCTACAAAGATTATCTACCGGGTAGATATGTCCTTATTAGCCCCCGAGTGAGGCCCGACCCCACGCCATTTGCTGGGGTTGGGTGTCCCAAAAGATCGGGGAGTTCGATAGCGAAACTAATAATAAGAGAAAGTGTGCGTTTATTAAGGGTAAAAGTGACATAGCCGGTTGATGTTACAAGCGTTGATGAAGACCTCGCCGTTGATGGTCTTGAGCTTGTAGGCGCCTGGCCGGAGCATCTCTATGACTATGTACGGTCCCTCCTATGGCGAGGAGAGCTTATGGCGGTCCTTGCATATTTGGACGAGTGAAGGGGGGCGACGTTGTACGCTTTGTCTAGCTGGGCTCCGTCCTATGCTCCCCCTTGTTAGAGCTTTCGGACAAGAACCGCTTCAAGAGAACGCAGTCCTTGTACAGGTGCTTGACGGAAAAAGCATGGTTCGGACATGGCCCTTCAAGCAGCTTCTCGAAGTGGCTTGGGGTACCCTCCATAGGCTTCTGGCCCTCCATGCGGTCGGCGTCGGCCGCTAGCGAGCTTCCACGCCGCCGCTTGTTCTTCCTATTGCTGGGAGGCTTGGAGGCGCCTTCGTCGGCGTCCTCGTCCTGCTTTGCCTTACCCTTGAGAGCGTATCGGCCAAGGGCCTAAGGTCCCATCAAGTTAGGGCTCAGGCTTCGGTCCTCACCGCTGTCGTAGCGTCCGCCACGGCGTGGATGGTAGCCGCGACTAGCCTCCTCCTTCGCATCGCCGTAGGCATGCCTGCGGGCGTCGCGGACATCGCGGTGGAGGCCGAGACACTCATGCACTAGAACTGTGGTGCGTGGCCCGCTACCCTATTGGGCCTGATGGATCGGTACGTCCTCGTCGGGTTGTTCTGAGGGCGCTTCGCGTCTGCGAGCGTCGGGGGTGTCACGCGTGTTGCGGCGGAGCTCGGAACGCTCGTGTGCTGAAATCGTGGTGCACGACCTCCCGTAGTAGAGGCTGAGGAGCTGGCTGCTTCCGGGGACGCGGACCTCTGGTGTAGGCAGCTGCAGCTCCTTGCGCCCTAGCGGTTGCGTCGAGGTCGGTGAAGAGGAGGGGTTGTGTGGCAGCGAAAAGCCGCACCAACTCTCCCTCCGTCGTGATGACGAAGTCTAGGTTCCCGAGGTGCACGCGCGCACCTGGTACCCAGCTGACGTTGCGATTAGCCATCCGAGGCCTGGTGTTGATGTGAAAACGCGCAAAAGATCCCCTACTTGGCGCGCCAACTGTCGGTGTTTCGAGTAAGCACCGGCTAGTAAATTTGTATATTGCGCGTCTGATCCGGATGATGTACTAGGAGGACATAAGGATTATACTGGTTCGGGCCGAACGTCCATACGTCCAGTTTTGAGTTGCTCGTGTTACTAGCACTGAGTTTGTAGTAGGGGTTTACAAACTGGCGAGAGAGGAAGGTAGCTCCCAAGTCTCTGAGGTTCGGTGTGTTTGTTTGATGAATCGATGCTCTATGATGTACTAGTTCGATTTCCCTTAGTGGGACGTCCTGCTTTCCCTTTATAGGCTAAGGGAAAGTAGGGGTTACAGCCGAAGGGAAGAGGAAAAAAGGAAAAGAAATAAGGGTCCCGGAGGTGTGCCGTCCACCTCTTCGCGTGGTTCTCGCTGACCCTGTAGATCGTGGTAGCAGTGGCGTCGTACCAGGGTCCTGTTGGCTGCTGCAACATGCGTGCGGGCGTTGCGCGTCGTTTATTGGCCTCCATCCCATCCGAGCGTACGGAATGGTCAAAGAGTCCCCTAACAGGGGCCATACGGGGGGCTAGCGGTACAGTGCTGGTCAACTAACATCGGTCGACTGACGTTGGCGTTGGTTAGGTAGGGAGTTGGCAGCGACCATGCGTCCGTCACCGTGGGCGATGTGAGTTCCCTAGAATGACATGTCGCGGAGATGGGTCGTGCTGAGATGTGACCACTCCCTACAAGGTGCTAGAAATCTAACCTTGAGTAGTACTTTCTGGCCCGTAGTGGTTGGTCGGCGACATGAGCTTCCATTATGAACCGTGTTCGAGGGATCGGGCGAGGCGGAGCCAGCCCACATATGTCGGCCCGTGGCGGAGCCGACCCTCGGGGCTCGGTCGAGGCGGGGCTGTTCCTCAGGGGTCGTCCGAGGCGGAGCCTACCCTCGGGAGTCAGCCGAGGAGGAGCCGGTCCTCAGACGTCGGGCGAGGCGGAGCCGGCCCTCGGGGGTCGGACGAGGCGGAACCCACGGCCTCAGTGTCCACTGAGGCGGAGCCAATCCTCGGGGGTCGGACGAGGCGAAGCCCAACAAGAGGCGTAGTCACGCTCTTAACCATTCAGATGAAACAATGTTGATGGTTATTAGCTCCTCCTCTTTGGGTACTTTAGTATTGGTCCGCGACAGTTAGGTTAATAATAAAGTAAATTTTCTGAGCACACGTGACCAGCTAGTAAAAAAAACAGGTGGAACCACCTCCAGAATTCAACGAACCGCGTACAGAGACGTAAGTGGGAATGTCCGGATAAGAGCGGTCTTAGACGAACTAAGTCTCGCCAACAAGAATCGTCAGACGATGGCACGATGCATACGTGTGTTGAAACTTGAAAGTCAAGCCTGCAAGTACATCACGTATATAGTTTTTTTAGTCCATAGTTGCGACGAACTTGACCTTGAGATAAGTAAATGATATACTGTGGAATTTCCGCATGCTCCAAACAAATCACGCAAATAGTTAATTACTGCCGTTTGCGTGTGATGACATTTTATTATCAGAAATATTGTGCTGAGGGCGTCTGCCTGCTCGGACGTTTCCGTTCTGCAGCACCGTGACCGCACTCCGCCGTGCCGCCTCATCGTTCTCCACGACAACTGAGTGCCCGTCGGCCGACATCTTCACCGCGCCCGCCCGCCTTCCTCCATCTCCATCGCGCCTCCAGCCCACCACGGCTACCTGCCTTCCTCCATCTCCGTCGCGTCTCTCGTCCGCCACGGCCTTCTCCAAAGCGCGGCTCCACCGGAACGGTGATAGCTCGTGCCAGATCCGTCGCGGTCTTCTCCACCGGAGCTATCGCAGCCTTCTCCACCGGAACGACGAGCTCCGTGCCACCAGCAAGCTCTACACCGGTGAACTCCACGAGCCGACAAGCCTCCATTCCCAAGCAGAAAGGAGATGTTGCGCTGAAAGAGCATGTTGCAAATATATGTTTCAGAGATATATTATAAGTGTTTTGTATCGGTGTTGCAAAAGTAGATCGAGATATTGCAAAAGTAGATCGGGATGTTGCACATGTTGCAATGGCTATGAACGTATGTTTCAAGTGTATGTTCTAAATGTTCCATTTGTATCAGACATATGTTGCAAGTGTTTTCATCTAGATATTACAAAAGTAGATCTCGATGTTGCATATACTTGTATGTTGCAAGCGTATGTTTCAATATTTCAGGTGTTACATACGTCTGTTGCAAGTGTTTTATCGGGACGTTGTATATGCTTACAATAGTTTTTAAGTGTTTTCAAGTGTTTTTGTAAGTATTTTAGAGGCACGTTTCAAGTATTTTATCTATCTTATTTTGTATGTTGTAACTATTATATCTGAATATTTCAAAAATAAATCCGGTGTTACGCATGAGATGCACGTGGGAAGTGTCTGTCAACCCGGGCCCTTTGCTACAGCGCTCGCTGGTAAGCCCAACATGCCGGCGGGTAATAATTGTAATATACTCAATCCATCCAAATTGTAAGACGTTTGACTTTTTTAACACCAAGTTTGACCATTCGTCTTATTCAAAAGTTTATGTAAAATATCACTTCTTTCGTCGTGGTTTGGTTTATTAATAAAATTTTTTCAAGAATGACTTAAATTTGACTATATTTGCACAATTTTTTTAATAAGACGAGTGATCAAATTTGGGCCAAGAAAGTCAAACGTCTTGTAATTTAGGATAGATAGAATAATAATAATAATAATTAACCAAAAAAACTGCAACTTTCAAAATGCGGAAATTTTTCGCGCGCGTTTGACACGATTTCGTAAGTTGGCAAATTGTTTCCACCAACTAATAACACCAGGAAACCAGAATGGTTATTTCGAGGAAAAAAAAAGAAACCGAAATGGTTAAGGATGAAGAGCAGCAGAGTTTGACCCGAAAATTGTAAAAAATTTCCTCTATGGCGGGACGCGGGACGCCGGACGCAGCATCTCTCGTCCATTCGCCTCTATAAATTCCCCCCTTCTTCTGATGAGTGATGATCTTAACGGCTAATAATAGTTGCTCCCACTTCCTCCTCCATCGAGTACACGGAGAGAGAAGGAAACAACAGCGACGAACCAAGAACTGCCGGAGGCCATGGAGCCGCCCTCTGCTGCGGCGCGGGCGGCGGCTGTGGCTGTGCCAAGGCCGCCGAGCTTCGCGTCGCAGACCAATGCTCTCCTGCGCAAAAACCTCATCTTCCAGGTCTGTCTGATCCCCAATCGCTCTCTGGGCTCTGGAATTTCCCTCAGTTTTTTTTTTCTCTGGTGCTCTCTCTTTTTGGTAATATAATTGGATTAACCAAAACCAATTGGCTTCCCGTTTCGGGTTGAGTGCTACTGCTACTACAGGCTATTGACTTTGCAATAGTACAGAACTCTTAGCTACGTGTGGCTACAGAGGCCGGAAGTTTCTATTTTCTGAAAAAAAAAGAGACTTTTACTTGCCAAATGGGCATGTGGTTTCAACTTTCATTGTCTTGCTGTTGAGGAAGAGACTTCTATGGATCACAATCATTACAGAATGTTCTTTTGGTCGTGTGCTGCAGGAAGTCATGGGTTGAAGTGACCACTTATTCCCTTTTCACAAAGTACTGCTTAATCTTCCTTGCAAAATAAAAGAAAAACAAAACAGCATTGTGTTAGTACTTATGAACTTATGGTGATGTATTGTATTGTAAGGGCAAGGGCTAATTGCACCTTTGTGCAGATGTGCCTCTTTGAATGAAGGGCCACATAATTATTCCACAATTTTGACAACTTATGTCCTTAGTTTCTGCCACTGTTGAATTCTTGGGCATATTTGCGGTCAATTGCCCTTTTGGCAGTTGAGGGATTGTGAGGACGGGGATGGGGCCTAAACACTTCTAGGGCCAGTTTAGTTCACCCCAGAGTTGGCGCCGGCAGAATTCGGTTGGTACTGTAGCGCACTGTAGCATTTTGTTTTTATTTGGTAATAATTGTCCAATCGTTGACTAATTAGGCTCAAAACGTTCGTCTCGCAAAGTACAACCAAACTGTGCAATTAGTTTTTGATTTCGTCAACATTTAGTACTCCATGCATGTACCACAAATTTGATGTGACGGGGAATCTTCTTTTTGCATAGTGCTAAAGTTGATAGTTTTGGTAAACTAAACAAGGGCCTAGGTAGAATGAAAAATCTACTGATTTCCCTGCCAATCCAGAGGGTTCTGATAGAATTCCTGCCTAACCAAACAAGTTCTCAATGTTGATTGGGACTTGTTGTAAGTCAAAATGGAAAGAATTGAGATCGTTGTCCACAATATATGAAAATTTGTTTCTAAACATCAAAAGACGTAGCAGTGCCACTTGCGCTGAAGTTTCTACTCTAATGATGTTTTTTTGCGACCTTTCCAGGTTTATTAATGACAAAGTGGCATTTTCCATAGTTCTTTAATTATATACTGGCTGTATGAGTCAAACTAACAGGTGTTGCTCCATTTCTTGTCATCTTGCAGAAACGTAATAGGAAGGGAACCATTCGGTTAATCATAGTTCCCATATATCTCTGTCTCATAATCAGCGTTCTTCAAAGAGTCATCAACAATTTTCTAGATAAGCCAAAATACAGGTGTGGTTGCAAGTGCATTGATGTCAACGGCACAGGCCCTTGCCAAAATATGTGTGGAATTCAGTACTCTACACTGGATCAGGCACCTAGTTGCCCCATTCCAAATCCTCCAAAATGGCCTTCTCTCGTGCAAGTACCCCTCCCAGAGTATCGTGCTGTGCAGGATTCCTCTGGCTTGTTTACAGGCTTCCCTGACGAATCATGTAGAAAGACACAATCATGCGCTGTCAGTATACCCTTTGCTGGAGCAAACAGGACTCTATCTAATAGTAAGCAGTTTGTACCATCTTCTTTTATTCCCCAAATACAGTTAATACAGGATTCTTAGTTATTAACCATGTTCCTCAAAGAGTCAACTGCTCAACTTTACCCCTTTGTTTGTCAGGTATCATGCAGAACCTGTTCACAAGCTCACCGCTTTTAAATATTTCTGATTACACAAGCATATCAAGTCTTTTGCTTGTAAGTTGAAATCTCTGTGCTAGTACTTCTATCAATGCTTTGCCAAGAATGAAAATAAAAAAAAAACTTTCTAATATATAAATCCAGGGTACAGATGTACCAGGATCTTCTACAGGATTTGTTGAACCTGCTTTTATCTCGGCTCGACCTATATATGTTCTTCAACCACAATGCAAGTCCAGTGCTCCAGTTACAATCCCAATTACCGTCGGTTCTGTTAATGCCCAGAAAGGTATTGTATTCTTTCCTTCTCTTTTAGTTGAATAGTGGCCCCTAAGAAATAAGTGGACCAACCTCCTTGCCATGGGCCTTACTAGTTGGCAGAGTGTATAAAAAAAAGGCAAAAAATTGATTATTCCGTAAGAGTGCCAAAGGAGTTGAGGAAGGGGCTGAATTCCCTCATTATCCTAGTTTCATGGGAAATCTAGAAGCATCAGAACTCTTGTTCAAGTCCATTTTTTTTCAAACACAGTTCATTGTACTGTTTCTCTCTTAAGGAAATGATACATAGCTCTCCTGCATAGTTTGAGAAAAAAATCCTTATCCTGAGTCCTGGGCCATGCAATTTCCAGCATTGTCTTCTCATAATTATCATTGATTTTTCTGCATTCCAGAGTGTTTTTCATCCTCTTATTGTCATACTTACATGCTTCTTGTCTTGTTGGGGATATTTTGTTTACAAGCATTTCAATCTTGAACAACTTATTTTTGGCAGAGATAAAATGTGTTCAAGGTTTACCCTTGTGGCGGAACAGTTCAGCAACAATTAATGAGGAAACATTTCAGGGCTACCGGAAAGGGAAAACTGCTGAAGGGATAAATGAAATTGCGATGGGTATGTCACCTCCCCTTACCGTGCTATAGTGCAATATTTGAGCATTAAAAAACATGAGTACCTCTAACCACCTCTGTTACTGCAGGCTATGATTTCCAAGACTCAAATGAGAAGCATTTTAATGTCCTTGCTTTGTATAACTCGACGTATGAGAATGCCTCTTTCATTCCAATGCCATTTGCACTTCTGCGCATTCCACGCTCATTGAACGCGGTGTGTGTCATTTACTTCACTGATATAAAATTGAAGTGTTCTCATATTTATTTTCCTATTAACCCACTGAAAAGGTTGATTTTCTGTTGTAAAATGCTAACCCTTTCAAATAAGGATGAATTGATGAGCATGCACAGCCATATATAGTTTTTAATATTTTTTTAACATATATTAGTAGGGTCATTTGCTTTTGTGTGTGCTTCAGTTATAAGTTTATCTTCTGTTTAACATTTTTAATTATGGAACTAATCTCATTATTGCTAGAATGATTTCACCTTTTAAAAACAAAGATACATTATTACTCTTACTTGCTCATTTTTCAATGCAATCAAAGAACCTATACAGTCAGTTACCCTCAAATAACAACACATTATCTTGACATCTGTTCAGGTATCAAATGCCTATCTCCAACTTATTCGAGGTTCAGGCGTAAATATGTTGCTCGATTTCACAAAAGAAATGCCTAAGCAAGCCACCCGTCTGACATTTGATTTTTCTGCTGTCGCCGGTCCACTATTTTTCGAATGGGTTGTTGTCTTGCTTTTTCCGGTATGATGTTATTGGAGTTGGTTTCTTTCTGTGAGTAACATATTATATACACAGAATACCAATGTGCATCACAAAAACTTTTAAACTCCATTCATGATTTCAATAACAAAAATACTCGAACTACAATTCAGGTTATGCTGACCTACCTTGTATATGAGAAGCAACACAAGCTCCGAACAATGATGAAAATGCATGGACTTGGGGATGGCCCTTACTGGATTATATACTATATGTACTTCCTTATTTTCTCCACATTGTATCTGATTGTATTTGTCATTTTCGGATCCATCATAGGTAGGATATCCAACAATGATCATCTTAACAAAAATGTACTTTGTTTGAAGCTGTTTATCTAATTCAGCTGTTACTTTGCAGGTGTGAACTTTTTCAAGATAAACGACTACAGTATACAGTTTGTTTTCTTTTTCAGCTTCATTAATCTGCAGATTGTGTTGGCCTTCCTAGCTTCATCATTCTTTTGGAAAGTTAACACTGCTCAAGGTATAACAAAACTGCACCATTTTATTTCTGTGTTCATACCAATTTGTTCAATTATGGAAGATATGTGATGTTTTTTTGTTTGTTATCTTATTGCTATCAGCAATTGCGTACCTGTACATATTTGGGTCTGGGTTGATGGCAGGATATCTTATTCGCAATTTTATTGAAGGGGGAAAATTCCCAAGTAAGTTTAGTGATCACTTTAAAATACTACAGTCTCTTTTTGTGTAAAATTCACATAACTGTATTGCTAAGTCAATTGTCATCATAAGATCACATTATGGTTTTAATCATGAATGAATAATAAGAAAGTAGATGCTGCATTTCCTGCTCCTCTCCAAAATGTTTCAGGTGTGGTTCTTTGATGGATCAATCTAAAATTATGGCATAATATTTGTTCCATGCTATTACAGGACACTGGATTACAGTTCTGGAGATAATACCTGCATTTTCTTTATATCGAGGACTATATGAGCTTGGCCAGTATGCTGTTAGATCTTCAGAAACAGGAAGCCGTGGCATGCGATGGAGTGATTTAAATGACCACACGAATGGAATGAGAGATGTGTTAATCATTATTATTTTAGAATGGTTGGTTTTGCTTCCTGTTGCATATTATTTCGACCATGCTTCTTCAATTGGACACAAATCTAGTCTCCTTTCTATAATCAAACATCTCCTAAAGAAGGACCCCACTTCAAGAAGGATAACTGTTAATGACATAGCTGATAAGGATGTTCACATAGAGATGGAGAAGCTAGATATTATCAAAGAAGTAAGTTTCTTATTATGTAGCCATTTTTCCCCTTTAAAAATTTTCCACCTCCCAGTATTGTTTAGGTGTACTTTAAAATTTTTGGATTTGGCTATTGAATTATTTTTTTATATCTATCACTACTCTAATAACTTTTGTTGCTTTGTTGTATTTGCTTAGTCTAAGTTATCTCCTTTTTAATATAATCGGCAGCTCTTCTGCCTGGTTTGTTTTAAAAAGAACTACTCTAAATAACTATATATATTTTTCCTATGAATAAAATTTAGTCTGCAACTTCATTGATATCATTTGTGAGGAAATCTGAGTCTCTGATGTCACCGTACTACTTTATTTGTGCCTCAGAGAGAGACTGTTGATCAAGTGCTACAGCAACAAACTAGTGGCTATGCTGTTGTCTGTGATGACCTAAAAAAAGTATATCATGGAAAAGATGGTAACCCTGATAAGTTTGCGGTTCAAGGTGTATCACTTGCTTTGCCTTATGGAGAGTGCCTTGGTATTCTTGGTCCTAATGGAGCTGGAAAAAGCTCTTTTATTAGCATGGTTTGTCATCATATCCCTCTACATGATACACTTTATCTAAGCTCTATTGATTGTGAATAATAGAATAATTTCTAGTCCACTCTTTTCACATGCTTTATTTTTGTTTAAAACAGATTAGTTAGAATTTAATTCATCCTAGTATTTTTCTTCGCAATCTTCTATATTTTCTTTGAGCCACACATTGCCAGGAAATTTAGCCTTTCTTGAACCACAAGCTCCTCAAATCTCACAATGAAGACTATCAAATGACTTGTCTTTTTTTCCCAACCCATATTGTGGTATGGGCCTTGCTATGGTACTCCGGTTTCCCCATAGGAGGTAAGAGCATGAATAAATCACAGTTCTTGATTTATAGAAAAGATTTTTTTTCGAAAAACGCAGAAGAGCTGCGCATCATCGTATTAAGAAGTAAAAATGGGAAAGAACCCATACAACACACCCCAGGCCAGCCAAAAAGGCAAGCCCTCACACTCACACCAACTCACGCCAAACTCCACCAAACTCTCTGATCCTTAGGATACAAGCACGCCCATGTCTGAATCAAAGGGCGACCAACACCAGCACTAGGAACCTGACTTTCTGAATGGGGGCAGTCAAGAGGGAAATTCCTCGAGCCCCAGCCATCGACCAAAGTTTTCGCTCTTCTCCAGCAATGATCAGGCCTCTTGCAATATCAGGGGTTGCTCCATCGAAAACACACCGGCGGCGCGCTAAGATGCGGAAGAAAATGAATCGGGAGTAACCCGGACTCGTGATACCATGAGAGCAATAGAGATTGCGTGGAATAGTAGATTGATTAGGGTATACAAGGTATACAAATATATAGGCAGCCCTTGGGAGAGGTTTATAGAAACAGAACCAATCAAGGGATAACCTGCCTATCCTAATCTATCTAGGCACGGAAGGAAGCCGGCCTGGGCCTGGCGCACAGCCACAGGAGGCCCATACACACGCACACTGCACATACATATCTAACAGCAATGAGTCCATATAGTCCATGCCCCAAGAATTATGAGAGAATTGATTCCTTGCAAAATTATGTCACTAGTAGCATTACTCACTCTATCCCACCAATCAAAAAATGAGAGATCAGTGGGCTGAGGGGAGAGGGACTGCAGGCCAACTTGTGACAAGAAATTGAACCAGAATTCTCTTGTGAAGACACAGAGAATGAGGAGATGATCAATGGTTTCTGCTGCTTGGTCAAATTGAACCAGAATTCTCTTGTGAAGACATAGAGAATGAGGAGATGATCAATGGTTTCTGCTGCTTGGTCACACAAAGGACAGCGCTCAGGGTGAGGGAGACCCCGGTGAGCTAAGCGATCCGCTGTCCAACATCTATTATGAGCAACCAGATTTATAGAGATGAAACTATAAAAAATAATTAAAAATCAGGAAAAAAGATAAAAGGAACGGCTATCTCGGGCCATCCCCTACCTTCCTTGCTGTAATGGTTACTGGAGCATGCACGCAGTTACGGCACCTAATCCATACGGCAACAAACCAGATGTTTTCTTCTATCTTGCATGATTATCTCTTCATTGCTGTCTTGTACGGTAGCTAAATCATAAATGGAATAGTATTGCATAATTCATCCAAATTACACTTTCAAAAAGTATAGAGCCATCCTTTTAAAAAGGAAATCACAACGTTATGATTACAAACATTATTTTTCCAAAGTTGTTTCACACATTTCGCTCAAAAAAAAGTTGTTTCACACATGTTTACCTTTGTTCACATTAGAAAAATGATAAATAAAATGTCATGCATCTATTACAATAAGTCACATTAGCATGCCCACCTCTAAGTGTTGCCTTTGTCTGACACATTATTCATGAAAAAAAAATTTACTTATGCCACGTTCAAACAAAAACATTGCAAGGAAGAGTTATGTTCCGACAAAAGAACACAATAGGAAGAGTTATATTTGTTGGGAAAAAAAGGTTACACGTTGGGATCTTTGACCACATGCATCTTAGATATAATTCCAAGTTATTTTGCCTATGTTTCCTAATTATCTTCACTGTTTTCCAGAATAAAAGATATATAAATATATATTTCTTTAATTACCTCCTAGGATTAGGAGGTAATAAGTGATCAAAACCATCATGATCTACTCAATTGGACGGTCCACAGTCATTAAGAAGTACCATAGCAAATCCATTGTGGTGTTGATCCATCCTTCTTGTGCCTGCCAGATGATTGGGTTTGTAAAGCCAACATCAGGAAACGCATTTGTACGGGGTTTCAGCATACAAAATGACATGGAAAAGATATACAGCAGCATGGGAGTTTGCCCACAGAATGAGTAGGATATGCACTTCTTTATTGCTGAAATGTTCTGAGTAATATTTTTGTTCGGAACAAAAAAAAAAGAATCAATTTAAACAATGCTGTCTTTATTTGAATGCAGTATGCTTTGGGAGACGCTAACTGGCAGGGAACATCTCCAGTTTTATGGCCGACTGAAGGGCCTTAGTGGTTCGTCTTTGGATCTCGTAAGTAATCACATATTCACATGTATATCAATTGCTTACTCCCTCTGTTTCAAATGTCAGGTGTTTCAATTTCCTAAGTCAAATTTCTCTATTTAGACCAAGTTTATAGAAAAATGCACACCCCATCTACAACATCAAATTAGTTTCATTAAATCCACGATAAAATATGTCTTGTGATGGAAGTATTCCCTGCACATTCTACTAGCTTACTGTTGAATCTGTTAGAGTCCTTTAGTCTTTCAGTTGCTTCAAAGTCATTCAGTTGTTTCTGTTCAGGTTTGTTAGCAGTTGGTTAGTTGTCCTGGTCTTCAGGAAGTAGAGCTAGTGGGTCAGTTGCATAGTGGTGTCGTGAGCTAGAGAATAGGACCACTTTAGCCGGTTGTTATGGACTTATGGCTTGCTGACCATGTAAACTCTTTGCTAGGCAACATAAACACAAAAGCCACAGTCTTGCAGCACCAATCCTACTGTGTTCTTTGAGTGCTCTAGCATCAACAGTGAGTTGAGAGAGACTTGCATCTTGACGGTGCATTTATTTGGTATTGTGGATGTTAATATATTTTTTATGAACTTGGACAACGTTAGAGAAGTTTGGCATAGAACAAAACTTAAATACCTTACATTTTGGAACAAAGGAAGTACCACATAATTTGATAATAAAATAGCATATAACATTTTACATGAAACCAATTAGTTTTCTTTGGATGTTGTGAAATTGTTGTTCTGTTTACATTCTCCTATTGGATTATGTGAAACAGTTATGTACTTTTCTTTGGTGAAGCTTCAGCTTTGAGAAGAAATTTACAGCAATGACAATGTTTGCAGGCTGTTGATGAGTCTTTAAGGAGTGTAAATTTGCTTCATGGGGGTGCTCCTGATAAGCAAGTGAAGAAGTACAGTGGTGGCATGAGGAGGCGCCTTAGTGTCGCCATCTCATTGATCGGAGATGCTAAAGTACTACTTTATACAGAATCTCACATTTCCATAAAGATACATGTAGGGACTTCTGACACTTCCTAATTGTGCCTCAGGTCGTGTACATGGATGAGCCAAGCACTGGATTAGACCCAGCTTCTAGGAAGAGTCTCTGGAGCGCTGTGAAGAAAGCAAAGCAGGATAGAGCAATCATTCTCACCAGTAATGTTCAGACAAGAAAACTTTGATCATTCCATAGCTTTTGCTTGTCCATAGTTTGCTCTCCTGTTGTAATATTGACCACAGATTTTTGTACTTATTTTTGTGCACCTTTGCAGCGCATTCCATGGAAGAAGCCGAAACTCTTTGTGATAGACTGTGTATCATGGTCGATGGAAGCCTCCAGTGCATAGGCACGCCCAAAGAGGTATTCCCATACCACAACATTATATATACTTCTTGATTATGGTTGCAACAGCTCTGTTCAAACGGAGATTGACATACAGAATCATGTGGCAGCTCATAGCTAGATACGGAGGGTACTATGTGCTGACGATGACAACACTGCCCGAGTTCGAACAAGAGGTCGAAAATCTGGTGCGCAAGCTCTCACCAAGCTCCAGGAAGGTGTACCATCTGTCTGGGACACAGAAGTACGAGCTGCCGAAGCAGGAAGCGAGGATCTCAGATGTGTTCATGGCCGTGGAGAGCTTCAAGAAGAGGGTGGAGGTCCAGGCCTGGGGCCTCGCGGACACCACCATGGAGGACGTGTTCGTCAAGGTCGCCAAAGGGGCCCAGTCCAGCGAAGAACTCTCCTAGACTCGTAGTCTAGATGCAATGGTGCTAAGGCAACGGCAAGGGCCTGCTGCTGGTGCTAGGTGTATATATGTACAGCACGTATAAATCCTTTTGTTACAAAGCAAATGGTTTGGTTTGCCCCCCTTTGATTTTGGAATTTTGATAACAAGGATTCTTTGGATGGAATTGATTTTTTTTTCGTCATTCTCTTTCTTGGTAGGTGATGTATTTGTAAATTGATCATTGATTTATTGTATATTTTGTACTGTAAATTTGCAACACTGTATAATAGTTGTTGCTGCACGTATATGTGTACTGATGACAGCGTTCAAAATTCAAATAAAGTGATGTTATCTATGTTGGTATTTCGGGTGTGTTTGGTTAACTACCTGGGCAGTGCAGCATGTAGCCATAGGTGGGCCAGTCGGCGCCTGGAGGCAATAGGCTCAAGCATGTTTGTTTGTTTTTTTTTCCTTTCCCGTTAGTTTCTACTTCTTTTATTTTAATTTTTTTGAACGTGAAGCATTTATATATACCTTCCGAATTATAATTAGTTTAATTTTGTTCTAAGTAATTTTTTTTCAGAACTTTCATCATGTTTATACTTTATAGAGTTCCATGAGATTTTTTCTATAAATCTTGATGATACAACTAGTGAATTCTCCCAAGGTATTTTTAAATACTCATTTTATTTCTTTATAAAAATGATACATGCTTTAGAATATTTACAAAAATATTCTAACAATGTTAAACAGTAGCTTGATATAGTATTAATTTTTTAATTTTAAACAGGTCCGATCGAGCGATCGTCACTTGGACAAGCCAGGCTGAAAGCGGACCACTCGGATCGCCACAAGGCAGACTCATTTGAGCGAACGACCTTCCGGCACCCGGTCTCCCACACCATACAAAGACGGTCAAGGATTCAACATGGGCGGCCGATTGGGGACATCGTTATTAGATGTATATCGTAATTAGAAGTCGTTTAGGACATGAGTGTGATTACCAAGGAGTCATTAATTAGATAGTATTTTTCCCTGTCTGCCCCTATTAAATACGTCTGCGGGTGCATTGTATACGAAAACGAATCAGAGCTGGAGTGGCTAGCGCAGTGCTGTTAGTGCCCCAAGGTCCCAGGTTCAATTCCTGGTGGGCGCACATATTTTTGTATTTTGCATGGCGATTTTGCATGCTACTGTGCGGAACGAGTCCGCCGTGTGTGCGGAACGAGTCCGCCGTGCGCGCTCGCGCCTGGACGCACGTTTGCTTCCAGTTTTGGCGCGATGTCCTCCGCGGCGAGCACCTCCGACTCCGGCCCGACGCCGTCCGCGGCGACCAGCACCCGCGCGCCGCCAGTCTCCATAGAGACAAAACGAACTGAACAATACTAAACCCTAGCCGCCGAAATCCACAGGCGAGCATGAGGGAGATGAAGTAGGCGTGCGGACAGGCGGCGAGCGTGCTGTGGGCGGTCTACGTGCCGAGGTGATCTCTTCAATCGAGTCCGCGATTAATGACGAGGAGACCATGCGAACGGGCGGCACGCGTGCCTAGCCATGGTGAAAGCTCTAGTTTGATTTTGGTTAATTGATGAAACCTTAAGTGCTAACCTAGTTTATCAAGGTGATTATGAGATAGGTATCACTACTCCAAGTGATGAAGCAATAACGAAGATCATGACAATGGTGATGGCATGGTGATGATCAAACGCTTGAACTTGGAAAAGAAGAAAGAGAAAAACAAAAGGCTCAAGGCAAAGGTATAAATGATAGGAGCCGTTTTGTTTGAGTGATCAAGACACTTAGAGAGTGTGATCACATTTAGGATAGATAACCGTACTATTAAGAGGAGTGAAACTCGTATCGAAATGTGGTTGTCAAAGTGCCACTAGATGGTCTAAACTCATTGCATATGTATTTAGGATATATGGATCACTAACACCCTTGAAAATATTTGAGAAAATATGCTAACACATGTGCATAAGGTGTTACACTTGTTGGTTAGCACATTTGAGCAAGGGGGAAGAAGACAGAGGAGATGCCAGTGTCGGTCAAGTGACCGGACGCTGGATCTGAATGCACCGGACGCTGACTACCTGTGTTCGATCGCGCTGACTTGGCGGTACAGGAGCTAGGGTATACCACCGGACGCTGGGCTGTGTCCGGTCGAGGTGGACCGGACGCGTCCGGTTGAGGAAAAACGGATTTGGACCCTTACTGTACTCGACCGGACGCTGAGGCTCCAGCGTCCGGTTAGTTTAGCCGGAGCGTCTGGTCAACACTTAGCCGTTGAGATCTGACGGTTCAGTTTTAACTCAGAGTGACACGTGGCAAAAATCAGTGGACCGGACGCTAAGTCCAGGGTCTGGTCAGTCTGACCAGAGCGTCCTGTCAGAGCGCGTTTTGCCCAGTGAAGGGGTATAACGGCTCTATTTCGTGGGGACTTCTATTTAAGCCCCATGGCCGGCTCAAGCTCACTCTCTTGGCCATTTGCATTGACATAGCAACCTTGTGAGATTTGCCAAAGTCCTCCCACTGATCTCCATCATTGATTCATCATCATTGTGAGATTGGGAGAGATTCCAAGTGCATTGCTTGAGGGATTGCATCTAGAGGCACTTGGTATTCGTGTTTTGCTACGGATTTCGCTTGTTGCTCTTGGTGGTTGCCACCACCTAGACGGCTTGGTGTAGCGGTGGAGGATTGGCATGAGTTGGTGATTGTTTGTGGCCATCTCCGGTGATTGTGAGGGGAGTTGTACCTTCCCCGGCGGAGCGCCGAAAGGTAACTCTAGTAAATTGCTCGTGTCATTGAGTTACCTCACTTGTGGGTAGGTTCTTGCGGTGTCCTATCGTGTGGACGAGGTTTGTGAAACACCTCTTAGCCGCCGAACCACCAAGTGTTGGTCGACACAACGGGGACTAGCGTGTTGGCAAGCACGTGAACCTCGGGAGAAAATCGGTTGTCCCTTGCCCTTTGGTATTGTCCCGGTGATTGGTTTTATATGCATCTTTTGATTGGTTAATTCCTCTTCACGGCGGTATAATCATCCTACTCACTCATTTATATTCTTGTAAACTAGTTGTAGCAAGCTCTTTAGTGTAATTAGAATTAAGAGCTTGCTTTGCTATTCAAGTTTATCTAGTGGAGCTCTTTAGTGTAGCAAGATTGAGAGCTCTTAGTGAGTATTATCATAGCAAGTTGTGTGTGTATTGATCATTGCAACTAGAATTGTTGGATAGGTGGCTTGCAACCCTTGTAGAGCTAGAGCAAGTTTGCATTCCGCTATTTGTCATATTAATCAAATTGCTCTAGTTGATTTGTAGATTTTTAAATAGGCTATTCACCCCCCCTCTAGCCATATTAGGACCTTTCAAGTGGTATCGGAGCCGTGGTCATCGTTTGATTAAAGGCTTAACAACCTCGGTGTCAAATTATGGCTCAAGTTGTGTTCAACCATGTGGGGGGCAAACCACCGTTCTTTGATGGCACAAGCTATGATTATTGGAAGAGAAAAATGAGAATGTATCTTGGTTCAATCAATGATCAAGTATGGGAAGTGACCGAGAATGATTATGCTATCATTGATCCTAACAATCCCACTAACCAAGACAAGACCAACAAGCAATGCAACACAATGGCTCTCAACACCATATACAATGCCATTGATTTCAAGGTGTTTGAGCAAATCAAAGATTGTGAAAGAGCAAATGAGGTATGGAGGAGATTGGAGGAAACATATGAGGGCACACCGGTGGTGAAGAGTGCCAAGTTGTATATCCTCAAGGACAAATTGACAAGCTTCAAGATGAAGGATGATGAGAGCATTCCGGAGATGTTTCATCGATTGCAAGTCATTGTCAATGATTTGAAGGCATTGGGAGAAAAGATCAAGGATGATGATGTCTCTCATCGGTTCTTGATGTGCCTACCTCCAAGATTTGAGATGTTAAGATTGCTCATCATAAGAGGAGGATTGAAGGACATTACCCCCAACCAAGTACTAGGTGATGTCATGACCTAAGAGACATACCGTGTGGAAAGGGAGGGGGTGACAAGGATGAAAAAGGATGAAGAAGACAAGAAGAAGAAAAGTGTAGCATTCAAGGCTAGTTCATCATCATCCAAGAACAAGGGCAAATCCAAGAAAGAATCAAGTGATGATGATGAGCTTAGTGATATTGATGATGAAGCTATGGCTCTCTTTGTGCGCAAGATGGGAAAATTCATGAAGAAGAAGGGCTAGGGTGCAAGAAAAAGAAGAGATCACACCAAGAGGAAAGAGTATGTGAGAAGATGCTACAATTGCAAGAGCCCCGATCATGTAGTAGCAAATTGTCCCTATAATAGTGACAATGATGAGGATAAGAAGAAGAAGCACAAGGAGGATAAGAAAGAAAAAAAGGAAAAGAAGGAGAAGAGAATGACCTTTCAAAAGAAGAAGAAAGGTGGAGGCTATGTGGTCACATGGGATAGTGATGGCTCCTCGGATAGTGATAGCTCTAGTGATGATGACAAGAAATCTATCAAGATAGCACTAGCAAGCATCGCCATCAACAACAAGCCCTCCATCTTCGACACTCCATCAACATGCCTCATGGCTAAGCCTACCAAGGTAAAATATGATGAGAGTGATGATGATGAACGTGAAAGTGACTCTTGTAGGGATGATAATGATGATGACGATGATGAGTACTCTAAGGAGGAGCTCATGGACATGTGTGAGCAAGTGCACGCTTGCAATGAGATGAAGAAAAGGAGTGCAAAGAATTACGCAAGAGAGTAAAATTTCTTGAGCAATCCTTTGATGAGCTCAATGCCACTCATGAGGGGCTAATGGATGCCCATGAGAAGCTTGACAAAGCCCACTCAAAGCTTGAAAAAGCTCACTCCTCTCTCATTGAGCAAGTCAAGAAGGAGGAAGCTAAGAAGGAGCGAGTGATAGTTACATGTGATGTGGGACTAACATGTGATCTTATTGATGAATCTTCTTATAAGCCTATTGCTATTGCTCCCACTAAC